AGTTGGCCACCAGTGTGGCAGGAGCCGAGCTCCTTTTGGCCAGCACTAAGGATCACGATACGGAGATCCGTGCGAGGGATGAAACTTTCGCCAAATTTGCCGCCAATGGCCAGCAATTGATCAAGGAGAAGCACTTCCTGGCCCACGAAGTCGAGGACAAGATCAAAGTTCTGCAAGCTCGTCACGAGCTCCTGAAGCAAACTCTTCGCAAGCGTCGTGAGATCTATGAGCTTAACCTGGACACCCAATTGTTCTTGAAGGACGCTGAGATTCTTGAGCAATGGATCAGTAGTCGCGAACCCCAGCTAAAGGATGCCAAACTGGGAGATTCCATTCCCCAAGTTGAGGATCTCCTTCGCCGACATGAGGACTTTGAGAAGACGGTGGCTGCCCAGGAGGAGAAGTTCCAGGCGATCAAGAGGATAACGCTTCTGGAACAGCTATTCCGTCACCAATTGGAGCAAGAGAAGATAAGCAAACTGCAGGAGAAGGAGCGTCTGGAGAAGGAACGACTGGAGCAGTTGAAGCAGCGAGAGCTTCAGCGTCTGGCGGATGAGCGGAGACGTGCCGAGAAGCAGCACGAGAATCGCCAAAATGCGGCGGCGCAGGAGAAGACCCCGATCTTTTCCTCGCCCATGGTCACTCCAGCCCACACCAGTGGTCCACAGTCCCCGGCTTCGGGTCATGACCAATTGAGGCCACCCTTCGGAGATGACAACGAGCACTTGGCCTTACAAAAGAGCAGCTCCAGTGGAATTTTCGGTGACCGTCTGCGTCGCGGATCAGCAGATGCAAATGTGAAGCGCGCAGAGAGCATGAAGGTACAGCCCAAGCAGGCCAAGCGTACTCCATCGTTCACCACCAGGAGGCGGGCTCAGTCCTTCAGGAAGAACCAGAAGGGCGAAGGGTTCGATCTGCCTCCCGTTGAGATCCAAGGAAGTCTGGAGCGCAAGCATGGCTTACAATCCGGAGGCAAGAAGGCGCCTGTACGATCCTGGAAGCAGTTCCACACTGTTCTCTGCGGCCAGTTGGTGTGCTTCTTCAAGGACGAGAACGATTTCCTGCAGCAGAAGACAGCCACTGCCCCTGTTAACATCCTGGGTGCCAAGTGCGAACGAGCGGAGGATTACACAAAGAAGAAGTATGTCTTCCGGCTAAAGCTGCCCGACGGTTCAGAATTCCTGTTCGAGGCTCCCTCACTGGACATCCTGAACGATTGGGTGCGCAAAATATCCTTCCACGCTAGTCTGCCACCGAACATGCAACTGCTCAGCTACGACGAGTCCATGAAGGTAAGTTTTGGTGTCCTTGTAGAAGATTCAAATTAATGTCTTATATCAAATTTCCAAACAGCAACAGTCGAGCAGCTCTCCGGATATCAAGGTGACCAGCAGTGTGGAGTCCCCAGTCAGTTCCCGCAACTCCTCGCCCGATTCCCAGCGTCGTACTAGCGGTGGTCAGATTCTGGACGGATCTGCCACACCCCAAATGGCCTTCCTGCAGCGACAGATGCAACAGCAGCAGCAACAACAGCAATCCCAGCCCAGTTCCCCTAGTTCACCCACCGCCGGATTCGATCAGAAGCCACCAATCCCGCCAAGAGGAGCACCGCCAGTGGCCAGCCATCGCCAGAGCCAGGAGAACCTAGTTGTGATGCGAAATCGCCAAAGTACCAATGGTAAGGAGTACTTAAAGAGAGACACCCCAATGACTATAATTATCTGACTATCCCTTAAAGACCTGCAACAATCCGCTACTTTGCCCGCCGGTTTGACTGGAGTCCAACAGAATGGGAGCAGCAAGGATGACAGCGCGGTGCTGACACGCAACAGCGAGGCCAGACAATCGGGTAAGTCCTCAAAACTAGGTAGTAGTCCCTTCCCCTAGCCATTTGTGTCTCTGTCCATACACACCCTTCACATTATTCCACTCACATTGTAAAAATTGTCCTCCAACAACGCAATGCCGTGTGTAATAGATAATCCGCCGCCATTGCCAACGACGATGCCACCAGTGGGTGGCCACCATCAGCATCCCCAGCATTCCCATTCCCATCAGAACCAGCATCAGGCGCAGGTTCAGCAAAGGATTAACGCCTTCAATGCGGCGGCGAGTCAGCAAAATCAGCCGGATTACTATAACAACAACGCAGCGAGACAGCAACCACAGAGGATTCCCTCTGGAGGGATCGATTCCACGAGGAAGTTCATTGAGATGGAGGCGCACAATAATAATGGAGGCACTAGCAGCAGTCCGAAGAGGAGCATCAACTATTCCAGCAGCGGGGCCAGCAGCAATGGCAACGGTAATGTGAAGATTGGAAGTACGAATTCCTCTACGACCACGATCACCACCTCAACCACCACACACCAAGTGACCTCGAGCAGTCGCACGGTGTGGCATCTAACCTCATCGCCCACCTCATCGACCAAATCATCATCCACCGGGGGCTCCGGGGAGCCTAGCCATGCCATCAGTAATCCAAGCTATATGGGTCTGCATCTGAATAACAATAACGATTCAATTGGAATTGGACTCGGTGGTTAGACGAACATTATTAATCCTAACAATCTGTATATTATGTGGTTCCTAGTCTTAAGTGCTTGCTAAAGCATGATCTCTGGTTACGGCTGATCTGAACTTTATGTATATATCTATTTCTTTCTTTATCCTTAATGCATGCCTGTTTACGGGATAGGTTCCTCAACTTTCAAACCGGTGAAGCTAACCCGCCGATCCTATCTACGCACGAGTTTGCAAAGTATTTCTATGAGTTTTATAAACTATATGTTAACTTTCCCCAATCGAACTTTCTTAACTCGACATTTTTAAATGCCCAGTTAGATTTTCCATAAACACTTTAAGCAACCTAAGCACAGTTTCGAGTTATAGAATTTTGATTGTTATATAAATGGCTCTTCCATTCTCAAATTTCATACCTGTATCAAAGACATATATTATATATTATTTAAGCTAAGAAATGATGACCTATTGCATGTCCAACCTCTGAATCTCACTCTATGTTATGCTACACTCTCCACTCTCTCCATTTGCATGACTCCTTCATATGCTAAAGATTTCAAACCACTCACACTCTCTATTTCATCCAACCAGGTTGGGGAAACACCCGCTTTGAGAGCAACCGACCCGTATCCCTACAGCCCGACTCTATTAGCTTCTCCCGTGTTTCGGCAGAGAGCTCCAGCGAAAGTGAGGCCCAGTCCATTTCATCCGTGTCCGGAGTGAAGGGCAGCAAGGGCACGAAAGAGGAGCGACGCAGCGGCATGTTCCGCATCTTTGGACGCAAGGTCGACAAGGAGAAGGAAAAGGACAAGGACAAGCGCCGGTCGAGTCAAGTCCCGCCACAGTGAAAACATATTCAACTTTTGGACAATTAGGAGGAGCAGCCCGGTCGGTGGGTCGGTAGATCGACGAGGCCGAATTGTTTTTGTATTTTTTATATACACCATAATTATTTAATTTGTATTCGCCAAGGGCAAACAAATTTAAAAAACAAAATCAACTACTGAACGAAACGAAAAAGTTGAGAAATTTAACGTGTCTACTTAAAGCTAAAGCGACAAAAATGAAAGTATAAAAGAAATATTATATATATATAAAGTCAATGTTTTAATTGCATTATAAAATGTATCTGTAAGCTTGTTCGTTGTATGATTAAATTTAATTTTCGTAAAACAAAAAACCTTAAACAATAAATACTATACATATTGTGAAAACAAGATCGGCTTAAACTTTACTCAATAGCGGTTCACGATTTCTTATTGGAAACTGAATAATCTGATATATATTTTATATATACATATGAAAGAGGTACCTGTTCTAAAAAACTGTTTGACAAATTCAATATAATTGCACCCACATAAGAGTAAATAAACAAAAGTAGCTGATAAAGCCAGAGCGGATGTTTATATATTCTTGACCAGCGTCAATAACAGAGTGTTTGGCCTATAACTAAACATGTGGTTATTTCCAACCAATATTTATTTTTTCTGACAACATTTTATTGTTATCTGTATTGTAAAATATTAATACTTTACTTTAATCATTTTTATTGACGTCAAATATATACAAAACTGTCTGGCTGAGCTATGAAATATTGTCAAAAAAATTTGCGAATTGCATTTAATGGTGTGTTGACAGCGGTCTTTAAACTTTAATCTGTTTACGTGAAAAATTACGTTTTTTGACTTTAGGTACGCTTATCTGTCCTTTCTTTATTTTACTTTAACTTGGGTTTTTTTTTCATTCAACTACAGATTAACATGGGATTTTCACAAGCTATTAGAAATGCACTTTCAATCTTTCGCAGTCTTATCATGTGCAGCACCGCCTTTTTTATATTCCTAACAGGTAGGCAACTATTATGGTTAAGTTTAGGTATATATACAGTACGGTTTCCTAAGAAAACACGCTTAATCAAATAAGAAAAATGAAGATAAGAATATGTAACCATGGTTATCATGAAGATATTTATTGACTTGTCTAAAGTGTTTCGCTATAAGCTTATCTGATTCTATCCGGAATCGGTACAGCGCGTCTTAAAAGATTATCTTGGGCGAAATTAAATACATTTTGTGGGTTCCTTAACGTAGCTTCTGTGGTTCATGACTATTCCACGGGGACTTTTCAAGATTTATTCAATTAATCAGCGCCTGAGTCTTTGTACTCTTATTGTTATGTTTTCCTAGTTTCCTCGGGTTTGGGTTTAACCCAAGTCCCTCATACAATTAGTTCTTATCTGGGTCAATCCAGTCGAAATTGGTATTCTATCCACAGAATGCTTCTTACATTTAAAAATATTGTTGTATTAGGCTCTTAAGCTATAAATCACCTTTATGTGTGCGAGAGCGCTCGAAAAGTAGTTCCCCTAAGGAACGCTTTAACTTGCTGATATATATTGTTTACACCCGACTACGCATCGGGTAAGGCGGAGAGCTCGGCTGCGAGCTCGGTGCACTATATAAGCTCCTCCACGATTTTCTCAAATCATAGCTCGCTGATAATTCAACAAGAAACCATTTTCAAGACTCTGTGTGAACTTCTGTTTCCAATATGATGCACATCAAGTACTTGTTCGCCTTCTTCGCTGTCCTGATGCTCGTGGTCCTGGGCGCCAACGTGGCCGATGCCGACTGTCTTTCTGGAAGGTATAAGGGTCCCTGTGCCGTCTGGGACAATGAGACCTGTCGCCGTGTGTGCAAGGAGGAAGGACGAGTCAGTGGACACTGCAGCCCCAGCCTGAAGTGCTGGTGCGAAGGGTGCTAAAACTTCACTTCTATAAACATTCTTTAAAATCCGTGAAGCGCTTCCTTATATTTTTATTACATACTTTAACCATGAATATCGAATAAAAGCGACAATGTACATTAAAAACTAAAAAACAACATATTCCTTTACTAGTTGTCAAGGTCAAATATTTAGCATTAATAAAGTCAGTTAAAATGCATTACATGTTTAGTGAAATACATTAACTGCCGGAAATGCTAGCATAAAAAATACGTTTTGAAAAATGCAAGATAAGCGGTCGTTAAAAGATCTGAATAAGTAATGACTAAAATAATATTGCGGCAGTAAAATTAACTTTTTGTTTTAGTAAGTCAGTTTGTTAATTGTCATAATCTATCATAATTGCCATAAATCTTTTTCAAGACCAAAGATTTAGGATGACACCACAATAAAGTAAAAGTCTTTATATATTTAATAAAAATATCGCTATTCTTTATTTGGCATCAGTCTTTCCAAGTGTTTATTTTCAATTTTCTTCTGCTCATGTATGGTTTTCCTTTTTAAATCCAAGGTCCTGCGAATGGGTTACATATCCTGCAAAGAAACAGAGCAAACTCCCTAGGTCTGTCCGGGAATGTGTTTGAGTGTTTGTCGGCGGTCTAAGCTCTGGTAAAGCGCGAAAATGTGGCAGTCATAGAGTGAAATCGTTGGGAAATTGGTGACCATCTTAAGGGTCAAACAGTTCGGATTTGCTATGGTTCGGATATCTAAGGGGCCAAAGGGACCCGGAGCGATAAACTCCGGGCCAAAATTTAGGCGGATGTGTGTCTGTTTCTGGGATAAATGGTCTTCTGTCGGCAAGACATGTAAGTGTTAAAAATGATTGCATTAGTTTTATACTACGTATAAGGAAGCTTGAATCGGATCGAAACGACTGGACCCTCGTCTTTGAAGTTAGGTAGCAGTGATTATAACTTATAATCCCCATTCGGAGCTAGGCTCCTTGTAGGTCTTTGAAAGTCTTTGTGGGACATATTGTCCCTTTGATTTTCGGATTTCTTTTGCTATGTCCAACTCTCGTTTTTGGAACTTAAGGGGGTGGTGGGTGGAGAATAAGGGGTTTTGAGGGGATTGGCACACACGATACACACATCACTGTTTGATCACTGCTCTCATGTTAACTTAAGTTCGTTCATGGTGTTGTTGGTTGTGGTTGTTGTTGTTGGGCGTCTCTTAAAAGTCTCTTTCTCTCTCTTTTTTTTTTGGTTTTGGATAAATAAAGTTCACATTTTCTCTCTTTCATTTTGTATTTTTTTTGTGTTTTAAAATATTTAATTAGCATTAAGATCTCTGCTCTTTTGAAATTTGCTTAAGTCGTAAGTTTGTTTAAATCATAGTGTGGGTGGTGGGGGTGTTTGGTGAGCGGGACAGAGAGAAAGGGGAAAAGAGAGTTGTATCGACTTTAGACGATAGCCGGTTTTCGTGGGTCTAGGGTTTTGCGGTTTTATCATAATAACTTTTTGCTTATACCGTTACGCATTCAATATTTCTTTTTGAATTTTCACACGCGAGAGGATTAGGATTACACTTTCCGATTCTAGCGAGGCCAAGTGCACGATCTCGATCCGGCCTAGCGTCTGTTGTCCCGATAGCTTCGTTGGCCGCCGCCACCACCACGCTCGCGAAACGGTCGCGAATCCCGCGATGATCCGCTGCGATTTCCGTACTCCCGTCGACGACCGCCCGCGGAGCCGTTGTTGCCGTCCCGATTCCGATAGCCACCGGGTCCACCCATTCCGCCGGATCCACCACCTCCACCGCCTCCCATTCCGCCGGCAGCCGACTGTGCTGCAGCTACCCCACCTGCTCCATTGCTACCGCCATTCGCTGCTCCGCCGTAGACGGGAAAGCCCGGCGGTGGCACTGTGGGCAGGCCAGCGTTCTTCCAGGCGGCAAACTCTTCGTAGCTCGGTGCTTTATCGAAGCCCGGTGGTGGTGGTCGTTGGGGAGGTGGATAATCCGGCAACGGTGGTGCACCCGGCCCATCGTAGTACCGTACCGGTGGCGGCAGCTGCTCGTACATAGCAGCCGTTGCTCCTGGTGGAAGGGCGCCCGCTGCTCCCGCCCCAGCTCCTGGCATTGGCAGCTGGGCAAACGGAGGAACGAAGGGCAACGGCGGCAGTTGGCCGTGCATGTTGCGCATGTAGTCCGCCACATAAGCTTCTGCAGCTGCTGCCGAAGACATGTAACGCTCCCACGACGGCATGGTCATGTCGCCTGGTCCGCCGGGTGGGGCTCCTGCTCCACCTCCCATTTGGCGGTAGGGAGAGCCGCTTCTCTTGAAGCCACCGCCAGGAGGAATACCCATGCCATGATGATGTCGATACGGGCGATGGTGTGATGGTCCGTGATAGCTCCTCTTGTGACGCATCGGACCAAGCTGGTCGTGACCAGCTCCCCTGCCACCGCCTCGACCTCCTCCATGGCCACGGGAAGAGAGACTCCTGGGTGGCTTGTAGATCACGTGAATGCCTTTTTCCCGCATTACTCGGGCGGTCTCCTTGGATTTCTTAAGTATTGGGGTGAGTTCGATCTGCTCATCCTCGGGGAAAAGGCGACACAGCTCTCCACCGATCTTGGGCTCGATCTCCTGGCCGTCACGACCAATCTTCACTGGCTTTCCTTCGTTCCATGTGTTGTGCAGGTGCAGGGTGGCGTTGAAGGACAGCTCCTTGCGGCAGATCCAGTCAAGTTCGATGACTCCGCCCAGCGCCTTGGGGGAAATACTAGGTGGCAATACCCAGGCTACCTGCGGAATGTCCCGCCGGGATGGGGCGGACATTCGAGCAAAACCTGCAAATTTTCCTGCAAGCAGAAAGGGAGTTTAATATTGAAAACGAAACAGGCAAAACAAAAGGAAAAATAAGAAAGTATTAGAACTCTTTCTTCGCGAAGAGAGTTCGACCAAAACCTACCACTCTCGTTCACCGAAAAGATGAGCAGCACGTTCCTGGCCTCTTTGAAGGCTTGGTTAAGATTGGCGTCGTTCTGCGGCAGCGTGGCCCACACACTTTTATTTTTAGACAGTTGGACGTTGTCGCTGTTGTTCGACTTAATAAGGAAGAATCTCGTATCCCGGAAAAGGTAGTTAAGCTTGGTCATGTAGTCGTAACCCTTTTGCGAATGTGACTGTGTTCCGCCGCCGCCAGAATCCTTTTCGGGCGTGGAGCCCTTGGAACTGGCTTTGCCACGACCATTGCCGCCTCCATTACCACCGTTTCTCTTATGCTGTGTTCCCGAATCAGAGTCAGAGGACTCGCTGTCAGATTCTAGAGCTGGAAGAGTTGGTTTTTCGTCCTCGGCCTCGCTGGCATCGCTTTTGTGGCCGCTGGAATCGTTGGTACTGGAGGGCTTCTTATTGCGCGACTTCTTGGCAGGCGGTTGACGCTCCTCTGCAGGAGGGGATTTGGCCTTGACTTTGTCAACAGGCTCAGAGGAAGTGGTTTTTTTTGATTCACTGCCCGTGCGCTTTTTTTTCTTGCCACCATTCAGCTCTTCAGGCGTGGGCTCCCTTTTGCCTTTGTTCTTGGAGGAGGACTTTGAGGATTTGGTGTCCACTGTCGGTTGAGGACTTTCCTTGGCTTGCTTCTTCGTCTTTCGTTTGCTACTACCTACCAGAGACGATGTGGCAGTGCTAACAGAGCTGATACTGGGTTCAGAATCCGAGGAATCCCCGCCATTTGATTCGGAAGCCTCACTCCTTGTATTGAACTCAAAGTCCTGAAGTTCTTCGGCAATGTCCGCTTCGTTTTCGTCCAGACCGAGGTGCACTGCATCCAAGTCCGCCATCTCTCGCATCGGCAGCGTTTGTTTACCTACTCCGAAATGGGGAAATCGTAGAACCACAGATGAATGGAGCACCCACGCACACACACAAACCAAGAAAAATATAGAGAAAAAACGCCGATCGATCGGAAAGGTGAGAAATGGTCGGTAAAATCCGGATAAATCGACACTCACTGGCTGCTCTAGGCATTAAATGTGTGGACACCGGTTTAGCGCCACTTCTTATCCAGTTTTCACCGCAATTATTCGTTTTTTGAATGCGAAATTACACCAATTTTACAAGTCTTTACACACAAATTCTGCGTCACAGCGGCGACGAATTGGCGATGGCGTCAGAAGAGTACCACTATATGTACCGCAAGCCGCAACTATCGTGGTAACTATCGATAGAAGAATTCAGCTCAACCGCGTTAAAAAAGGTAGTTACAAATAGATAGTTTTTATTATAAATATTTGCATGTTATCTGTGTTACAGATATATTTGCTTGGTAAACGAAGACTAAATTTTTGTTAAACTGTAAATATCTCATTTTGAATGAATATTATAAAACTCAAATTTAAACCGATACAAATAGCCGTATTTGCCAGAACAAAGTTATTGAATATGCATGTCGTAATCGATAAAGTTATCGTCTCTGCCAAGCGAGGTAAACAAAATGCACCATAAGCAATTGGATTTTCCGGCTTTTCCACTTTCCCTGCTGGACGACAGCGATCTGGAGCCGCAGAGATGCTATGTGCCCGTGGGTGAGGATACTCCAGGCACAGGATGGTGTCGCTGCAACCTTTCCGATGGCAGCTACGCAGTTTGTTGGGTTACTCCGCGTGCTGGTAGTGAAACTTGTTGCTTCTTGGATGGAATAGTCACATCGTCGTCGCGCTTTTCCCCAAACAATGAGCGTTTGGTGCTTTTAGAGCCACTGAAACTAGCACCATGCCTAGAAAGGATTCCCTGCGTGGTCACAGTTAATCAAGAGCTTCTCCAGCGCTCTCATGTTTCCACGGAAGATCTAGAGGACGATGTGCGCGTGTTCCTGCGCCACCTGAAGCTTACCAAAGGGTGCTCTGTGCAGCACAGACGACTTGCCAAGTTAGGCGTTGCCAGTGTGGAGATTTTTGATGCTCCAGGTGTTGCCCCTGACGAATGTTTTGAAATATCCCGAGATGCTAGGCTGCTCCTTGTGGATACAAGACTTGGAATGCCCTATCCCTTGATTTCCACATCAAAGTACCTGCCACACAGCTTTGAGCAGCCCATGAACGACTTGAAGCAACTACTAGAAACTTCAAAAAGCAGTTTCTCACACAGTTTTCCTGCAACAGCGTTAGTTGTGGGACCTGTGGGATGTGGAAAGAGTCGCCTTCTCGGAGAGTTTATGCGTCGACATAGCTGTAATTGTTTCTATATTACAGCCAGTCATGTGCTGCGTTCATATCCAGGCGAAACGGAAGAGGAGTTGAGAAGAATTTTCCAGTCAGCTGAAACTTTCAAGGAGCAATTGCGTCCACTATGTAAATGTTCAATGTCTTTGTAAAGGTCATCAAAATGTTAATAGGTTTTTCCTTTTTTAGTGCCCATTGTAATACTTATTGAGGATCTGGAGCTACTCTGCCCTTCTACGAGCGTCGCAGATGCCAAGAACTTAAGCAATGCCCTCCGTATCTCAGCTGAACTATACAAACTTATTGATGCATTGCCCCCAGGCATCATTTGTGTGGCTACTTCGGGGACCCCAGACTCCTTGCATGAACATGCGCGCAGACGTTTTATAAGAGAAGTGTCTATCGAGATGCCCAGCGAGGAGCAGCGCAGACAACTCGTAGATGATCTTTGCCGAGAGCATGACCTCGAACTCTCGGAGACTTTACTCGATCACTTAGCAAGGAATACTCAGGGCTACGTGATGGCGGATCTAATACTCCTCTTGCGCCGCGTGCAACAGGAACTGCTAACCAAAGATGACTCTAATGTAGAGGAAATCTTTCGTCAGTCGTTGCTCAGAACTCAACCTAGTGCCTCGCGATCCACGGATGTGCGGGTGTCAAAAATGGCATGTGGGTTTGAGGTTATTGGAGGAATGGAATCATTAAAACGCACTTTGCAAGTCTCAGTTTTAGCGGGTCTAAGACAAAGTGCCGCTTTTGCTCGATTCGGACTGAGTCTACCCAAGGGGGTGCTGCTGTACGGACCCCCAGGATGTGCCAAGACCACCATTGCCAAGTGCCTGGCCAAGGAGGCTGACATGACCTTCATTGCCACCTCGGCAGCAGAGGTTTACTCGCCCTATGTTGGATGCGCCGAGAAATTTATTTCACGAATCTTTGACACAGCTCGAAAGAATGCACCGTGCCTTATCTTTCTGGATGAAATTGGTAGGGCACATAAAGTCTATCGAAAAACGTATTTATGTAATTATATACATTATTTATTTAATAGATTCTCTAGTTGGAAGAAGGACAGTCTCAAGTGGAGGAGGTGGAGGTCAGGTTCAGTTAAGGATTCTTTCCACGCTGCTGACTGAAATGGATGGCATTGTGGGTGGGAGCAGTCAGCAGCATATACTTGTGGTGGCGGCTACCAATCGTCCAGATATGATTGATGACGCCCTGCTGAGACCCGGCCGCTTCGACAAGCTCATCCACGTTCCAGCGCCGGATGTGGAATCCCGCCTGGAGTTGCTAAAACTCCACCGCCAACGAATGCCTTTCCATGAAAATGTTGTTCTTGAGGAGATTGCTTTACGCACCGATCGTTATTCTGGAGCCGATCTGTGCAATCTCTGCAATGAGGCGGCAATCGAAGCGTTCCAGCGTGACTTTGAGGCCACTGAAATACAGCTGCAAGATTTTGAGAAGGTATTAATCAAGCAGAAATCTTCTCTTACGCAAAGTCAAATAGATGGCTACTATAAATTTGCTTATAGGTTTTTGTAAAACATGACTTTTTTACGAAATGTAAATAGAGTTAGATTAGTTTGTTACTTCGCTTTAATACATTATTTTAAACTATTAAAACTTCACAAAAATTACTGTATTTTATTTTAAATTCATCTATGCGCGCGCTCAATCATCGATTAATCGATAGTAATAATAGCCGTCAGCTGTTGCAACGATAACGCGGTGCAGCAGCAAAACAAAGAAAAAACAGATAAAACGTTAACGCAATTAAGCGTAGTAAAAAAGCCTAGATTATCGCCAAATAAGAGAGGAAGTGAGTCACAGGAAAAAGCTTTCCAGCCACAATGGCAGATACGCGTAAAGAAGCCGCACCGCCGAGTTACGAGGAAGTCATGAACAGTCCCTCGCAAGGTAAGTAATAAATTCACTAACGACATCCAATTTGACCTGAGACTATTTCAGATTCACGCTTGATAGTGGGCGTACACCAGGGGGCACCCAGTGCCCCGCCCCCGAACATGCACATGCCAACCTACGGAGCTTTCGAGACGACACCGGTGAGCGTAGTGATTCAACCTACCCCGGTCGCTATGCCCACGGAGATCATCGTGATTGGAGGATGTCCAGCTTGTCGCATTGGATACCTGGAGGACACCTTCTCTGCCTGTGGCCTGTGCTGCGCCATCTTCTTCTTTCCTTTGGGCATCCTCTGCTGTTTGGCCATGCGAGAGAAGCGCTGCTCCAACTGCGGAACTGTTTTCTAAAGGGGATTCCCAAGAAATTACAAATACATCGACAATTGGCGTCCTGAACAGCTTTTTGGAGAAGAATCCTCGAAAAATATGCTGGTTGAGCAGAGCTCTAGCTGAGGAATGACCTTCGAAAGAGGACTCCCCCGAAAATCATACAAAAATACACCCCTTGGGGTCTGCAGCTACGTCTACTCCTTATTGTGACTGTTTTTTGATATCACAAAGCTCCAATATTTTTATTATTGTTAATCGTTAGGTCAGAAACCATTAAATATTATGTGTAAATATTATTCATGGCTGTTTGTAGTGTGCCCCCGATTTCCAGTCACTGTTCGGCGATTGTTCATAACAAGAATAGTTTTGTACAGTAGAAATTGGCTAACCGATATTGACATGTATTGAGGTGCTGAAAGATAACTATTCAAAAATGTAAATGAAGAAGTAATTAGGCTTTTTAAAAAATTAATAATTATAATAAGTTTTAATCTCTAATCAATATATATAGTATTTTACTAAAGGGCAAATGGAAAATATAAATTTTGGATGACAAATCCACATTTCACTTTGGATATATTTATGTTTAACTATATCCTGTGGTTAGGGCTGCGTCATGGAAAGTTTCATTATTGAAAATTTAGCATATAGAATATGTACTGTATATATATATTGCATTGCAAGCGTTGCCGAGGCGCGCTTCCGTTAAATTCAATTGAAATATAATGGTGGGCGGTTTTGTATTACGCCGCCCGTCCGTAGTCTCCATGCTCTTTGCACTTTGCCGCGTAAAACAGTAAACAAGTTGGGTATTTCAAAAAGATTAAACGACGCAAAGGTACCCTAATTATACTTTATAATTTATATCAAAATAACAGAAATTCATATTTTTAAACAGGTGAAGTGTACCTTTTGATGAATTATATTGTGGTATAAAATTAATTGTCGACAGAAAACTACAAAATAAATCCAGATCTGATATACCTTCCTTATCAGATTTCATGGACACAGGGTATCACAACAAATTCGCCGGCATCTACATCCGCCGTGTCGGCATCTTCGAGTCAACAGTCGTGATTTTCCTTTGCCGCGGACATGACCGGTGCTATTCTTCTTTTCTCGCTGTTGATGCCAATGCTTTTGGACGCAGTTGCACCCCCACGGCGGCCAAATGTGGTCATGGTGATCTTCGATGATCTGCGTCCCGTAATTGGGGCTTATGGCGATCCGCTGGCCAGCACCCCATACCTGGATAATTTCGCTCGAGGAAGTCATGTCTTTACACGAACTTACAGTCAAGTGAGCCTTAAATTCTTGATATTTATTAAATTACTAAATTTCTATATATTTTATATCTGCCGTAGCAATCTCTGTGTGCACCCAGCCGGAATTCCCTGCTCACAGGTCGAAGACCTGACACTTTGCATCTGTACGATTTCTACAGTTACTGGCGTGCTTTCACCGGAAATTACACTACTTTGCCGCAATACTTCAAGGAGCACGGATATTACACCTATAGCTGTGGGAAGGTATTCCATCCTGGACTGTCCTCCAACAACACGGATGACTACCCCCTGAGTTGGTCAGCTCCAGCGTTTCGTCCTCGAACCGAGCAGTTTATGAACTCGCCGGTTTGTCCAGATAAAGAGGGAATTCTCCGGAAGAATCTCATCTGTCCGGTAGAGCTGCAAACACAGCCGTACAAGACTCTTCCAGATATCGAGTCCGTGGCGGAGGCATTGCGCTTCCTGGAATCTCGGAAGAAACACAACCGAGAGCCCTTCTTCTTGGCCATGGGCTTTCACAAGCCTCACATTAATTTTCGGTTCCCTCGGCAATTTCTCTCAAGATTTCGACTTTCCCAGTTTTACAACTACACTGAGGACAGTCTGAAACCACCAGACATGCCGGCGGTGGCATGGAATCCCTACACGGATGTGCGGGCCAGGGATGACTTCAAGCACTCCAATATATCCTTTCCCTATGGACCCATTTCAAGACATCAGGCTGCTCAGATACGGCAGGGATACTATGCCTCGGTGGCCTATGTGGATGATTTGTTTGGCAAGCTGATCGGAGGCTTGAATCTGGACGAAACGGTGGTGGTGGTGCTCGGTGATCATGGCTGGTCCTTGGGCGAACATGCTGAGTGGGCCAAGTACAGCAACTTTGAGGTGGCACTCAGGGTTCCTCTGATTATAAGAACACCACAGTTTCCTCTCAGTCAAACAAAGTACTATCATGGAATTACCGAACTTTTGGATGTTTTTCCCACTTTGGTTGATCTGGCGGGGCTACCAAATTTACCAACCTGTCAGGACTCCCAGGAGCTGACCTGCGGCGAGGGCAAGAGTCTGTATTCTCAGTTAATGGGTCTGGGGAGAGGTAAGTTTAATTTTATAATTTTTAAAATTTCTTTATAATAATCTTTCAGCTGATGAGCATGTGGCCCTCAGTCAGTACCCCAGACCAGGAATGCTGCCCACTAAACATCCCAATAGCGACAAGCCCAAGCTAAAGAATATCAAAATCATGGGTTATAGCCTTAGAACTGATATCTATAGGTACACCTTGTGGGTGAGATTCCACGCACAAAACTTTAGCAGAGGTGAGTGAGATATTAATTTTAAATTAATTTAAAGATAAGATGGATAACCGAAATATTTTGCCTTTTAGACTGGCACGATGTGTATGGCGAGGAGTTGTATGACCATCGCCTGGATTCTGGAGAGGAGCTGAACCTGGTACCTCTGCCCGAGTTCGATGATGTGCGCCAGCGACTGCGCCGGCGTCTGATGGAGGTCGTAGGTAGCTAGTGTAGATCTGAGATCCTCCATTCCCCCGGAATCCCTCTGATTTTGAATAAATTCATAAGCAATAAAGGCAGCGCGACAAACGATCTCGAGACGGCAAAATATCTTGTCGCCATAATTGGAATTTAATACTTCCGGTTGGGCAACAACGTTTGCGAGACGCCCAGACATTCTGCATATTTTTCGCTGTAATTTCTGCGATGCCCCCGTCTTGGAGACCGCCACCCCGCGACACCCTGCCCCTCAGTCACCGTACAATGTACAATATAAAATCCGATCCACTCCGATCCGCGCATGCGTGACTGTGTCCATTGCCTTTTTGGCTTCGTTTTTGTGAATTTTTGTGAATGAAATTTCATTCAACGTTGGCGGCGCGCGTCTCGCTGCGTTGGCGTCGGCAGCGACGTCGCCGCCCAAAACGAGAGAGGATGGGGAGAGGAGAGTGGTGGAGCCACGGGGGAGGAAGCTACGTTGGCGACTCTTTTCGAGCTTTCATTTTCGCTTTGGTTTGTTCCCAGGCGAGTGAAAATCAAAGCACTGAAAGAAAATGTTGATGCTATTTTTTAAAATTTTGATACAATCTGATCTGAATTTCTAATCATTAAATACAGTGCCCAAAAGCAGGCAACAAAATACTTCACATATGTATCCAACATGTAATAACGAAATATGTCTTAATAATCTATGATAGTTTCTTGTAAGACGTATTTCTCTGTGCATTTCTCAGTCTGGTAATTAAATCTGCAGTCCGCTGCTTGATCGATGTGATCCCCTCCCCTGTGGACCGCCTCCTCAACCACTGCCTTTAACCCACTCTTTCTCTACGTGCTCTCTAATGTGCATATTTGGTGTGGGCTGCGTTTTGGGTTCGCCATGTGGGCTGTCTCTCTCGAGGTGATTAAACTGCATTTTGGCAGCACTTTCAAACACACACACTTGCACCGATGCATTTCTAGAAATATGTGTCCCAAAGAAGGCGTGGCCATTTCAACTTTATGATTTTTGTCATATTTCTCGAGACTTTGTGGCTTTTACAATTCCATTCACTAATTTTTGTTGATTGTCGTGCATTTTTTCGCAGAGAAAACTATAGTTTATTGCTTTTCAATGTTTTTAAATTGAATTTGGTCAACATTGAGTGGAAATTGATAAATTATAAATAAACGGTAATAAATGTTTGTATATCTCTATGCTAATGGTTGACGGCAAAGATGGTAATAGAACTATTTAAGGTGTGTTTACCCCTCAGTCTACCCTTTCCACGGCCCCTGTTAATATTATTTACCACATCCACCTACCATAACTTATTTTTTATATTGCCATTTCCGTTGTGGGCTTTCCTCTCATTCATTTCTTTACCGTTGCTTTGTTGACAGCCTTTTTCTTTAATTCGCGCTAGTGTTCCTCCTCCCAATGGGTGGGTCCATCTCCCTCCGTCCCTACATTTTCCCCAATTTGGCTATGCATAATGCAACCAAAGAGGCCGGTAAGTCAGTGGGGATGGGCGGCAAAATTGCATATATAGCCGCCATATAGCTCGTGTGGGGCCTTTGGCTTAGAGTGTCTGTTTCGGTTTTGAGTTTTGCGGCTAACCGCAGCACAGTCGCATAGCGCGTGTGTTATAATAATCTATGGCACTTTAGAGGTTTAACCGATGGCCGGATAGATACAGATACAGATACAGATAGAAACAGAGATACAGTTCCAGATAGGCTGGCTTAGATGGATAGCCAGATACTCGGATACCGGCTGGGAGCTGTGGTAAATGTGGCAGACACTCGGGCGGGCTGGCTCTAAACTGTATTATATATCTATGGCCATAAAGCCCACGAAAGCTGATTTCGACTGACGGATACACTGCGAAAAAGTTATGATGGTATTTAGAACATTTTTTGGGTAAGAGGTAACATCATCTTTTCTTGCAAAAAATGGCCAAAATTTGACATTTTCAACTATGAAAAATAAGCTTATCGATGTATGGCATTCCATATTTCGACTATTATTGTCTTTGTTAATATAAAAATAGTTTTGTAAAAATGTCAAAAAATTACTATCTAACGTTTTCGGCAAAATATTGAGTTTTTTCTTCGTGTAGTCACAAAATATAGCAAAAAAATGCGAATACAACTTTAATTTGAATTTGTAGGCTGCTTTGCCGTTTATTTCTAAGCAAACTCAAATGCGTGGGCGGCTCAAACGAAATTGCAAAAGATGCGTAGGCAGCGGCAGCGGCAGCGGCAGAGGCAGCGACGGTCGACCGAGCGGCACAAATGCGACAACAACAACAGCAACAACACTAGAAAATGTGTATAAAGTGGATATAGTTCATCAAGCGGACTGAAGTCGGCTTTTTACCTACGCATCTGACGATGCTCGAACAGCTCACATCTCACAGCGCTCAGATCCAAGTGTAAATCGGGTTCTCTAGGCCCCCTACATACTTCTCGTACACCTAGAGAAAATGTGTTGCGAAAAGTGGGAGTATATGGAAAGGATGAAGTTTGTCTCAAAAGAGAAACCTCATATAAACCATCATAAGTTTAAGCTGTTTTCAAAAATCAGTAAAAATAACCAAATGATAAATCATAAAAAGGCTTAATTGGCAAGGCTTAATTGGCAATAATGCTAATAGGCTATTCCAAAGTCAGTAGCTTTGCTTAACACTTAATCTTCTAGTAAAGCTCAGAACAGATTCTTCTCCAAGTGTAGCTGTACTCGTAGACATAGTTGTTGCTGCCGGCCTCCTGCTGTAAAAAATGCTAATTTTCGTTGACATGCCATAGTTTGGCTAATGACGAAGGTTGTTTGTTAGCTTTGTCAGTTGACTTGACGCCGTTGCCAAAAAGTAGAAAAAAAACTAAGAAAAAAGTATGGAAAAAATAGAAGAAGAAACTTAAAACTGGTTACCATGTGTGCGAGAGAGTAATATGGACAGCTATGGAGGGGGGGCTAAAAATTTCTTTTGACGGAATTTCCATGAATTAATGCCGCTGCCGGATTATGCCGCTCCTCAGGTGTCCGGCACTTGTGTGCCTTATATATGGTTATATACCCGATATAAAGTCGAAGGCCTAAGCAGATCTCCAGCTGTGGCAATCAGGAATTTTCGGGGGATTTCGCCCGGCTAAATGATCTTTAGCTGATTGGTGATCATCATCGCTCTGCAGCTGAAATCCAATTCAGTAGCTTTGCCCGGGCAGTTGATCTTTTTGGTCAGATAACAAGGCTTGGGGTTTCATTCATTAACCCAATATTAATTTGATTATTCCGTTTTGTAATTATTCATGAAGCTAACAAACCTATAATTAATGTATAAAATGAATAACTTAGGAGCTGATAATATAGCAGATGGCTACTGCCAGTTTTTAGCTAGTTATCATTTAGTATTGGTTATACGAAGTTAATAGATCTTGTTTTAACTGGTCAAAGATGTTAAGGAGCTGATATTTTGAGATATATTTTCAAGCTTATTAGACTTACTTCCTCTAAAAATCTCAATTTGGCGACCCAGGTTTCACCCATTTCCTAAATACCTCTCCATTTTTAAATCTCGACAAGCCGAAATGTGTTTCCTACGCCCACAGCAGCTGTGTGATCTTGGTATTTGATCAATGTCAAGGCCTGATCACTTCATCAGACCATAACTACGACGGATCTTGGATCTTGGCATGTACATATGTAACCCCTCTGCTCCCGCAATCAATCGCCTATAGCCTTGGCCAACAATGGTGGGCAAAAAATGATAAATAAATAAATGAATAATAAAAAAAAAGCAAATTAAATAAATAAAAATGAAGCGAAGACGACAAAGCCAAAAAGAAATTGCTAAACAGAAAAGTTTTGTTGAATGAAATTTACGCAAGATCGGACTTTTGACCATTCAGAAGGGAACGTCGTACAATGAAGTGGAAAAGAGGGTCTTCTGCTGGCTGTCTTGTAGCAACAAAATAATTTATTGAAATTCAAATTTATTATCTCCCCTTCCACTCTCCCCCTTGTGGACCTTCCAAAAGCGGGCTTGGCCAGGTCGAAAGAGACTTTTTCGGTCCCGGGCAAAACCAATTCAGCTGGAATGCAGGCCCAAACACAACACATTTGGCCCAGAGCGTAAAACGAAACGAAACAATCAAGAATGAGTGTAGAAATTCCACAATGAGCCCACGCAGGGATGCCTTAAAGGGGGCTAAGATGGCATGGCGGGGGATTATGTGGGGCTAAGATGGGCAGAGAGAGAGAGAGAGGGGATGGGATTCCGGATCGGAGTAATCAACGTTTAGCCGAACGGATTAAGCCGAGAGCCGTCTTCGCTGGCATAAGCAAATATATGTAAAGTTATATACCCAAAACCCCTGCACTACACTATATATGGGAGCCAAGTGGGCGGGGCTGGGGGCTCTTGAGGGAACATTAGGGGGAAGGGAGGGAATGGGGGCTTTCTGAAGAGTGACCGACCGCAAACAGTTTGAAGCCCCCGCTCTGAAAAACAGGCAGCCGCTGTAACGCGTGCTAAACAAGTTTCTCGATCGGTTCCAAGAGCGCGTCTTTGTCTTTTGTCTTGCCCAAATACCCTGTATTTGGAAGCCGAAAAAAGGTATATGGATGTTGCGAAACTTTTTAGAATTGGGTTAAATGATTCTTTTTCTAATAAAGAAAAAGATTTCGTAGCATACTCTTGGGATAGCTATTAGAAATACCATAACTTTAGCTTCGAAAACTTTTGAACAGTTTAATAGGCAAATATTTAAAGATCACCTACTAAGAGGTACTTATAACTCCTAACCACTTTAGAGTTCTTAGCAAGCTGATCTTTGTTTTCCTCGTTTTTGGTTGTGGCACAAAAGGTTGAGAACCGGCAATGGAAACTGAGACTGAAACGCAGCTCTCCGTGCTGGATGCGATATAAAAGACATTGAGAAATCGTTTTCCTTTTCAGTGATGCTGCTGATGCTGCTGATCCCAGCATCTGGGATACTGGGATGAGGGGCTGCTGCCTCTTATGATAATAAATATTTATGCTTTTTCTGGGCTCTGTCAGTCGGGGAGACCAATTCAAAGACGGACAGCGAAATAAAAATCCCATTTCCCGCTCCCATTGTGCTTTATTTACGGCCAAATAATTCAAATTAAGCCTGCGATCCGTGAGCGTGTATGGAGTATCTGATATATACTTACATATATATATATTTGTATATACATATATCTGATGTATCTGTATCCACGAGTATCG